AAATTCTATAATTAATTTATCAATAGTTACTGTGACATACGTTGATTCCATATTATTGAAAGTTTTTTTAATGAATTTTAACTTATTTTCAACTTCAATCGTGTCAAATATGTGGAAATAAATAAGGTTAAGCAGTATGGAATGATATATTACTAGAAAAGTCATTAGGTTAGGGTTAGGTAAATGTTTTGCTGTTAGTCGCGAGTCGCCAAAAGATGAAAGTTGGTCATCTTCTGTTACGACAGCGACACTCGACTTACGACAGCTTTCGATGACACGCGCCAGCTCAATACGCATGCGCCCGACATCCGACAGCGACATACGACTTATTGTAGAACAGGCTTTACAATCGAAGTCAACAGATTTGTTTAACGGAATTTGACCGCTAATCTGCTTAAAAGATGACTAATGATGACGCGTTGCGTCCTTGCAATTGTGTATGTATTAATGTTTGCAACTACCAACCCTTCTGCACGTTTTTGACACTTTGTTTCACATTGTTGTGTTCTGTATAGCAACAGAGTAATTGGATGACAATAACAAGGGGTGAATTTTGCAAAGAGGAAGATGTGAATTGATACGATAAACCGCTTGCGTGATAGATGCTTCCAAAAGAAATAACAATGTCAAAGCAAACGGGAATATTGGAATTGAACAAATGCATTTCGTCTCGACTGTGGTACACGTCTTTGAATATTTTTCAAATAAACGACAGCAGCAGCTTTCTGAAAGAGTTTCATCGTAATTGTTCAGTTGATCTGACCGAATTGGAGGCTGTGGTAGAAAGCTTGATGTAAATATTATTATTCACAACGGTGATTGTTATAATTTTGTTGTATCAGTTTATTTTTTACATTTTTGTAATATATTTGTAGATATTCTCCAAACGAAGAACAATATCAATGGATCGCTTATGTATTGCTGTGGAAACTTATAGATAATAAGTCACCTCCTGTCAATTGTAATATACATAATAATATTCAATCGCAACTTGATTACATACAGATGAGAAATGTTGTGAAACTGTGCGACTATGTACCAGATGATCAGGTATATTGTTTTTCTAATTTAACATAAATATTAATATAGTTTTTAAATGAGAATCTTATGTTTTTTTTTTTTTCAGAAATTGAAATTATTATTTCTTCAAGATACAAATATAGAAGATAGTACAAAGACAATAGTGACTTTCTTAAATAAAAATATTTACATTAAGCCAAAAATTGTATGTTGGATCATAAACAGATTAATCTCAAACACGAGCGCTATTGATCTGCAAGATATTTATTTTTCTACTGTAAAATGGTGCCTAGAACACATTCCACTCAAGAAACATTGGTATTTAAGTCATGAAGTGTGTAACTCTGATTTATCAGAGAACAATTCAGCTACCGAGTGTGCGCTCAGGAGCAATGTTTTGCAGACTGTTCTGTGTCTTCTTTCGAATATGAACTTTGATACGGATACGGAGATTGAGTTTCTTAATCAATTTTATCCCGTGCTCTTTAAAACTCGTCATGTCAACGACATTGAACTTGCATTATATTCTAAGAAAAATGAGAAACTGTTCGACAGATGGCTTTCTCTTTGGAACAAATCGCACGCATGTTCCGAGAGTGTCGCTACGTTGTCCGCAGCTTACAGAATCAGTGAAAATATGTTCGAAATGATAGAAAATTCAAAGATAATTTTGCGCGAACGAGAATTACTTAAAAGAATAAGCAAACGGCAATTACATTGGTTAAATGATATTTTGGTAAGTTCTCATATTTTTTATTCCAGATAATATTTATATTTACAACATTGTTATATATATATATATGTATATATAATTTATTAATGTGTGTTGCAGGATATTTGTCATATCTTGGCTGTAAACAGAAAATACGCTGAAGTGGAGCTATTGTTATCGTGTGATTTGTTAAAACCGTTGTATCCTGTTTTATTGTTCAAAGCGTTAAACGAGTGTGCGCAGGAAAATATTAATTCTCCCGAAGACTGTGATAATGGAATTTTGATCTGTGAATCTTTTAAATTTTTATTAGACAAATATTCGTCCTATTCGCTAAAGGACCGCGATCTTTTCGAATTGCATCTGTTCTTAACAGAGCGCTTTAGAATCATAGAATACATTTTGCATTGGAAAAAAAAACATTTCACGGAAACGAGATCAGATCCGAAGAAATCGACAAATTCGCGATCTGACGCGACAGAACAACAAACGACGTCTGTGAAGGGGCTTTTGTCTCTTTTGCAAAAACACAATACCCTGTTTGTTTTGAAGATAGCAACAAATATTCACAAACAGGATTGCAGTGCCGTGCAAGATTTACTGAACATTGAAGAATCGCACACTTTTCGAAAATATTGTTGCATAGTAAACGCTTTGAGATCCATTTTGTCTTGTGAGTTTTACAACGCAAAATACGATCAGATCGCCGGTTACATGGTCGATATGGCGTCGTATTTGTTTTCTCTGCCTCCGCTTTCGAAGATAGAGACGATCAAAGACGTATTTTCGTTATTGTTCTTGCGTTATGAGGATTTCAACGCCAATTCCAAAGACGAGCGCGATACATTATTCGAAAGAACGAACTTCAGCGAGACAGTTGAACACGAAAAGTCAGGTTTCATAGCTAACAAGTACATTGTGAGAGACATGCTGCATTATTTGTGGAAATGTATTACGGATGAAGAAGTTGGCGAGGATAAAGCATTTTATAGAGACGCAATTGGTTTAATTTCCGTTTTGAAAAACGCTCGATGGAAACTGACGTTTTATACGGGATCTTCTTTCGTCGAGAACGTCGGTGTTCCGCAAGACGAATCCGACAATATTTCCGCGACAAATAAATCGGAACCCGTGATGTCGCAGAGCGGTCCGAACTTTCCGCACCGCAGGAAAAAAGATACGATCTTTTACAACGGATGTAGCACTTCGGACGAGATTAAAATTAAATCCGAAAGTGATTCGGAATCTGTTTTGTCGAGCGGCAATGTTAAGCAGAAAAAACGTTCGAGAGTCGCTACCGCGGATTCGAGCAGAGATAAACCGTCGTTCATGAATTTGATGCTTGCCTCGAGGGAAAGTTTGATTTTGCATTGTTTGTGGAAAAGCGATCTCGACAAGGCACAGGGAGTAATCGAGGTAATAATTAATTTTTCTATTTTTTTTAACAATGCGTAAAAATAAACACTTTGCCTGACGCGTAACTATTATACATTTTCCGGTTTATATAATTCATATATGTTTTATCGCAGCCTCGAATGTCTCATACGCGTCGCGCTCGTGTTCAGTGGCCTCATATTTAATTACATCTTCTTGTTTCTTCAAATCCTTTACGTAAGTACCGGGCGGATTTATTGCGCAATATTGCTTGGAAAACAAGATCCTCTTTCGCGGAAAGCAAAATTTGCAACGAAAACACCAACAGCACCATCCTGAAGAGTATGTCGTTTTTTTTAACGATATTTAAAAAAAAAAAAAAACGTCGGAGTTGGCGCAGAGTCACGTACCTCTTTGACACCAGCAGGGTATCGCGAGACAAACATAAATCAACAACCAAACTCGTAGAACAATCCACGTTCTCAATAGAATTTTCTTCACAGCCGCCACGTCTTTCGCGCGCTGATAATCGTATATGAGACACTCCATTGCTCGAACTCCGATTTGACTCAGTTCTTCCTTGGTGCAATTCCGAGGTCGTTTCAAATCCATTATTCTTTTTAGAGCTTTTCTCGGAGCGTCTTCTTCTTTCTCCGTATAATTCAACGCTTTACCGCGCTTCACGTTGTCCTCTATTTGCTGCTCGTATTCCATTTTGAATTTCGAGTAATCGTACGATTCCTCGTCGGCGAAAGTGGATCGTCTTGTTTCTGTCGTCGAAACGCGATCCGTATCGTTCGCAATGCTCGCGCTTTCTTGATCGTACTCGTCGTCGTACCGCGTAGCAGCTTGCGTTTCCGCGAGATATTCCGTCTCGCTAATTGTTCTATTTCTCAGTATTTGAAAAAAATCCATTTTCTCGTCCGATACCGTACCGTAACGATCTTCCGTATCCTGACGTTTCATTCTGACAACATTCGCACTCTGATCTGTTTGTTTGGCAGCAGAAAAATTATCTTCCGTATATTTTTGTTTTCCTCTCCTTTCGCCTTTCTTGTATTTTATTATTGATGTATAAGATAATTGCAATTTTTACATTTTTTTCAAATCGGTACCTGTGATATTTGTTGTATTGTTTGTATCACTGTGTATTTTTTCCAAATTCTGCATACTTTTCTCGTTTCTGTCAGAACTCGCGGGATTTATTCCAATTGATTTCGCACCCGCACCTGCCTTGGTCGCGGCTCTCGAGAAGTACTGGATCGCGTTAAACGGGCGTTTGTGTTTTAATGACAAACTTTTGAAAACAAACTATCTAAATAAATTTTTCGTCGAGCGAGACACTTACTTCGTCCAATTCTTCCTTGAAACCAGCAACAAACGGTTCTTCGTTTCGCTCAATCCCGAATATCTCTTTCGCGTGTGGTTGCAAACGAGAAAATACATTGGAAAATCGTTTCGCTACTTCGGCGTTACGCTCGTTGTAATATCTTACGTGAGAATGCAGCGGCTTGTATCTGCCCTCGTCTTCCGCAAGAGGTTTCAGAAGATCTTCGAGATCCGCCGGTTGAATCATTTCGTTTTCGCTCTCCTCGTCGTAATTCATGTCGTCCAGCGCGATTTCAAACTCTTTCGCGTCGCGCACATTAATCTGCGCGAACGAATACAGATTTGGTTTGTGAATAAAAAAAGATTTCCGTCTACAGAGATTTCAATTTCCCTGTTTGATTGAGAAGTCGTGGAAAAAGATTGTTATATCGTAGATGGAGGGGTATTAGAATTTTGAAGACCTTATGATTCATGTGTTAATTTTTAACAGAAATTTAGATTTCATATATGTGGTATTTAACACCATAGCACTTATTCTGTCATATTAAATTAATTTGTTGAAGGAATTTCATTATAATATTAAAATTTTTCTCAGTCGCGTAAACAAATTTGATTCGTACTTAACTATTTGAGAAAGCGCTTGCAACGTACGAACAATGTGAAGAATCACTAAGAGAATATACGTATTTTGATGTAACATTTTGAATCTTTCCAGCAATCGATTCGTTCACACGAGCGATATTCTTGTTTTCTAGATGTTCCACATGGAAAATACGCAATTGGACGGTGAAGTTCAATTTTCAAAAGGACTTCGCGCGTTTAAACAGGATATCCTTCAGTACCTTCGTAATTCAGATACAACAGACTCCTCTAAAGAAAGCACAAACAGTTCCATATTAGAGGTAAAAAAAATCCTCTTCTACAAATCTTACATCAACCCTGATCCCGAATCTTTTTTTTTTTTTTTGCACTTTGAACGTGACCTCGGCTCGCAATTCACTTGATTTTAAAATATATTTTTAAATATATTTTAAAATATACAGAAGCTTTATTATTTTATTAATATAATTGACTATTGATTAATTAATTAATTGATTAAAAATTGTATCTCTTGATTAAAAATTTGTTATTTGATTTTAAAATATTAAAGATATCATAAAGATTATATAAAACTGACGTCTGCCAATATGTTTAACCAAAAAAAATATTTTATATGATTTATTTTTAATGATTTTTTCTGGTGCGAGTGCGAGAAGAATTCAAAGATTCAGAATTAGGGTTAAGTTTTTTTGCAGTAAACTATATATTTCTAACATATAAATTTATATATTTATTTATAAAGAAATTATGGTGTGATAAACGTACAATCTGACTTCGACCGAATGTTAAATATATAATTGCGATGCGACGCGCGTGTGTTTTGTGTAGAATGTAAGACTGGCTGCGCAAGAAGGCGTGCAATCTTCCAAACACATCAACCAACTGGAGACCTTTCTGGGAACTCAGGAATCATATTTGCAAATGTTAAACACAGACGTTTTGAGCAACAGAGAATTATTGACGTTCAGCGCGCTCGATTTGAGCACGACTATGAGCCAGACGTATCAGATCTCGAAAAAGTTCTGCAACGTGGCTTTCATGTACGCGACGTCGTGCGAAAGACTTTACAGTATTCAAAAAGAACGTTCGAGTTATCTGATCGATATCGAGGAATACTCGAGTTTCTTCTTCAAGATCTGTCAATTGTTTCACGATGTTAAAAATACCGCGTCCGTTACGGATATACTGTGTGATGCCAGAATTCCATTGTCCGCGGAAGATTGGACAGAGAGCAGAGGTGTTTGGTGCGAATTCGGGACCAACTATCGCGCGTTTCGCGATCTCGAGAGACGGGAGACGACGCGATCTCGCGACAATAATTACAGTCTGGGATTGGAAACGCTCAAAAAGATGCGCGATCTTTTTGATCGCGAACAAAAATATCTTCCGAACGTTTTCTCTCATCTGCTGCTCGTGTGCTCCATTATTCCTGGTAAGGTTTTTTCATTTGGGTTCAGCTTCGTTGTTGTACGTCACAAATGTTATGTTGTCAGTTTTTGATGTTATCAATTTTATATAAATTTGTTCTCCCCAGAAAATGCCAACGTAAACACGGTGTCTGACTTATTGAGAACGCCGTTACATCGTTATTTCGGATATCAGATATTCGATTTGAAAACCGAGCCGGACAAACTCGAGACAATCGCGTCCGATCTTCAAGTGAACTTGATACACAGTATTCTCGTGAACGCGTGTCCGAATATTTCTTGTCACGCCGAAAGAAGCTACAGTGGCATCAAGAATACCGGATGTATAATTCTGAACCAAAACTACAACGAAAACGTACGAGCATCTGTTACGCATATTCGTGTCTGTTTTTTTTTTTTAATTTTTATTTTTTTTTTATTTTGTTACACAAGCGATATATGTATAATAAAAAAATTAATTAGCTCGTATATAGCGTCAAACGCAGTTAACAATGAGAGAAAATAATTTTATTCTTGCAGCGTGTAAAATCAGCCACCGTCAAAGGTGTGAATCCGAATCAATGCGTTACGGAGATACTGGCCGAACTTTTGCAGATTTTGCGCGACGTGAGTTCGGGACGATCTTACTTCGATAATTCCTGTTTGAAAGGTATCTCAGATCGCGCGGATGTGCGAGCGGTGCTGAACAAGACGTCGAGCTTCGCCAATCTCGATCTCAGCGAACTGTCCGTGGGTGACGAAACCCTGGCATTTTTCCTCAACGTTTGGAACATCATGTTTCTTCACGCGAGTTTGGACGTGTGGTCCAACGATCCGCCTTTCAACGATTTGAGACACGCGGTCTCGTTGATGTCAATCGGTTACGTCATTGGCGATTTGGGTCTGGTAACGCTCGCCGCACTTCGATCGAAATTGTTGGGCAATCTCGCGGACGACTTCAGATTTTTCACGCGTATCGAAGAGCTCAACGAGTTGGCGTGGCAGGATTTGGATCTCGTACAGAACTCGAGGGTGATCTTCGCCATGGCCAACGAGTTTTACGGCACACCCGAGATTCGTGTAAGCTACTTATTACTCATTTTTCATTATTTGTCACGATACGCGAAAACAAATGTGATCAATGTGCTCAAATCCAATTGTAGGTGTTCGAGACGCAGATGTTGGACAAAAACTTGAACGACGCGATGCGCGATTACACGTCTCATTACTCATCGCTTGATCAAGGTGTCGAATCTACGGATAGTCCGACAACGAGAAAGAGAATCAGTTTGCCTGATTTTGTGAGGAGGTACAAGAACGCGTTTTCGCCAGGTGTCGATAGCGCGACGAACGTCAACGGAGATGCGTTTCCGAAAAATGAACTTGATATATTCAAGGAAGATACAGATGCGGCAGAACGCGCATATATATTTAATTACACGTACGAGATAATATTAAAATATTCTGAACACAATCTGTTTAATATCAAAAGTTCGAATAAGGTGGAAACGTTACTTTGGGAGACTCGAACGTTGAGATCTAGCTTGGTGCAATATCTGGAAAGCCATTGCTGGCTTCTTTCTTACCTCCTGCAGCGAATGTACAGCGAGAACTCAATCATTTTAGACGTAGACAATAATTACGATAATGTAAAACGCACCGCCTGTCTGGAGAATCTCTTAAGTTCCGCGTGGATCGACAAGTTGAAATCGTTTTTCAGCGTTAATCAAACTGTCACCGCTATTCACGACGCCGTCGTACCCGCCCAGGAATTGTGGCGTTATCTTCAATCCAGAGGAGAGGATCGTAATTGGCAGAACTCTTTGGAAATAATAAACGCGTTAGCCGACACGGTTACGCAATACGATACGGAGCTGCAACGCTTCAAGGATTTGATTCTGAGTCACGTGCTCTCCAATCTAGGCGTTTTATCTGTCACGAGAATGCTTCAGTATCTGTATCAGATTAAAGATATACATGTACTTACGCAAACGATTCTGCACAATATCAACAAGTGGCCCATGAATGTGTGCGAGCACGCTTTACTTCACGCGTTGCAGCACGAATTCAATTACAAACTGCCGGCTCATTGCAAGCATCGAATGAACGGCGTCTTGTGCAGAATAATGATCTTTCACAAAATGACTCCGTACTGCGTGAGCAAATCGAACAGCACTTGGTACGACGTAATGTATTGCACGGACAAGATCGAACCGTTTGAGATAATCAAGTCTTTGATCAACGCGGATCAGTTCGAGTTGTGTTTGGAGTGGCTGGAGTGTCAAGCGTTCTCCTTGGAGATACAACCCACCGTGATCCAAGACTTCTTGCTCGGTCTCTTGAGAAAGGAACAACAGGACTTCAAGCAAGCTCTGAAGGTATGAGAATTTTTTATGATCATTCTTTCGGAGAAAGAGTAATTTTTCGACGCGATGTTAAAAATAACAAATTTTCGCACAACAGTTTCTTCAAGCCCTACCGTCGAGTCAGTCGGTGAAGATATGCAAAACAGTTCTCAAGAAGTTGGAATCCATCAGCGCGTTGCAGTTTGTCGCTAATTATTTGCTGGAACATTGCAAACCGTCGGAGCAATCCAAGTATCAGAAAACGTTGATAGGATTGGAAATTTTGGAGATGTTGGAAAACAAAGACAGAGCTCTGTACATTCACTTGATAAAAGAACCGTTGCTGATGCTGGAGCAATTGTTGATGAATTGTAAATTTGAGAATATTCAAAAGATTTTAAATACGTTACACAAGAACTTGCAACACCCCGATGTGAGCATCGGCAATTTTGACAAGATAATAAGATTTTATGCCAAAAAGTCGTTGGATTTCCGTGTGTCGCTGCAGCGAGACGGCGTCGAGAGTAGAGTACAAACTCCTTCACAGTCCACATCGGAAGCCGAAAGTAACGACTTTGTTATGCCCGTTAACGTGCCGACCAAAGAGGAATGGGTGCCCAACGATAGGGTAAATAGAAAAAAATTGGTGACAATCTCTCGAAACAACAAATAAACGTTCGCTCTTAGGCATCTCTTGTATTTTAATCATCATTTCTTAATGAAATCGTTTGTTCGACAGGCGAAAGAATGCAGTTGCTGTAAAGCGGTGATATTTTCGATGTTCAACAGACGACATCACTGTAGACGATGTGGTCGCGTTGTTTGTGCCGTGTGTTCTCAGCATCGTATGCAGGTTGCCGGTTATCCGAGTTCCGTGCTCGTACGGGTGTGCGACGACTGCAAATGTCAAACGGTGCTGCAAATGCGCGCGGCTCAAGACGCACCGTCGACGTCCAGCAGCGAAGTGTTCGATTATTGGCGATTGACCAGGGACGAGAAGCACAATCGCACCATAAGAGAAGAATTCTCGTTCGAACACGCACCCAATATTTCGTTGTGTCTCGCTATTCTTAACTTGCACTCCGATCACAAAATATATACCAGGTAATAATTATTTCCAGGTTTTTTTTTAACACGTCCAGTATTAACAGATAGATTTGTAGCACAAAAATTATTTAAAAACAAAAAAACGAGACAATTGACATTCTCATTTTGTTTGCTTTTAATTTACAAGATAATGCGCATGTGTGTGTGTCAAAATTAGAACTTGTTCTAAAAAAAATGGCTTTTTACTGAACAGAGTTATGATTAATAACCCACTAATTATACACAGCTTCCTCTTGGATCGTTGTGACGAAATGAAGCAGTTACTCCAACCCGTTAACGGCGGCAGAATAAATCCCGAAGTCGATCATGCGGTAATCATCAAGATGATACGTTCTCTGTTGATCGCGGTTAAAGTGAAGTGCGCAAAGCTCGGTTTCAACACCGGTCTCGCACACTGCGATCGATTTCTCTCCCAAGTTGATCTTATCGCGACTCTGATTCAGTCCGATTGTCTGACTCTCATACCGACAGACGATTTGGACGAGCACACGTTGAGGAAGCTGCGCGATCTTCTCACCGAGAAGGAACAGTGGACGCTGGCGTTGAATGTCAGCACGAAGGCAGGACTGGATACGCAGGGTGTGTGGGCCGCGTGGGGAAAGGCATGTCTGAAGGTGGGATATCTGGATCAGGCTAGAGAGAAGTTTCATCACTGTCTCGATAAAATGGTCTACGAAGATGTTGACGATTGGGTCGTGCTGTCTTACAGCAGAGAGCCAATCGAAAAAAACAACATCGAATCGACGACGGAAACGACGACTTCGTCTGTAACAAAGAGAAAGAAAACATTGGACGAGAGAAAGAGCGAGAGTGACGGTCACTCGAAGAGAAGCGAATATTCCAGATGCCGGCCGTTGAAAGATCCACCTTTGCTGACAGAAATTCTACAAATATTGGACAATCTGAGCATACACCGATTCCGAGCGCAAAATTCATCTCAGTCCAGATCTGACGCGGCACAAGAGATTTTACAAACACTCAACAGTCTGAAAGCTGTAACCCAGAATCAGTTCAACGTCAAACACATGATTCCCACCAATCAAACGATTTATTATCAGGAGAGTTTGTATTATCTGTCGACTTACGGAAGCAGTAGTTCAATCCTGCAGTTTTTCTTGAAGCACAAAGAGTTCGACAAGTGTATGGCGTATATTCTGGAAAACGACTTGGAATGCGAATTGTTTCTTAACGCGGTTTATCTGCACTGTTTGAAAAACGGCGACATCGAGAGACTTCACGACGCGATGAAAGCAAAAGATCCTAGTTTGCTAGCTTGGAGAAAGTACCTGATATTTGCCTGTCATTTCATGGAGAAGAAACAACACTGGCATATTTTGTATCAAATACAGCTCTTCATGAGAGACTGCATAAGAGCCTCGATGACCTGCATCCGTTTTTACACTAACGAGGCGAACACCTATTCGGATCTGTACAACAGGATGCATCTGTTGCAAGATGCTCAGAAGCATTTGGAGTCGGAGTTGCAGATCGAGAGTTTGAGCAAAAGAAGAAGGAGCGTAAGCTCCATTCATAGTGGCCAAGCTGTTCTGACGATGGAGATGGAACCGTCGGAGATAGACAGGCACATAAACACCATATGCAGGCAGACGGAAATCGCCAAGTTCTTGGCGAACTGCGAAAAAGAAGGGAGAACGACGAGTGAATTTTTGAATTTATTCCCGAACATCGACAACGATAACTCGCAGACAGCTCGGGTGCCCACATTATTTGGCAATCAACAAGAGAAGATACACTTGGCTGTTCTAGCTATATTGTGCGGTCGCGATATCGGGGAAGGATTCGGCATAGCCTTCAGGATAATACAAGGTCAGTAAATAAAATTTATAAAAAAAACTTCTCAATTTTTTCTTTTTTTACGCGGTTTTCTCTTTCGTTTTGATTCTGTGATCACAGTGGCAAATAGCAACAAAGTGGTAAGTATAGCGAGCAATACAAGAGGACACTCTAATACATGCGTGGAAATAAAGAAAAAAAAAAGAGTTCGTCAAGATACAGATATACATATATTTTACTGATGATACATACATCAATATGTTAAAGTATATAATTTTTTCACATCTATTTACACACGTGTAACAAAATTAGATAAATATATAAATAGTGTATAATTTATACGTATAACCGCGCGCTTATAAAATAAGAACAAATGCGTTGTAATATGCGTAGTGTAATACATTTATAAATGCAATCGCGTATTGTCAATATCGTACTTTTGCAGATTATAATCTACCGCAGCAGAAGATATATTCGTTGGCTGGCCATGTGTTGGCCTTGAAAAGTGATCTAACTGCAATCGAGCAGTTAATTAAGTGCTGTCGCAGCTCCGGAGTCCCTAACACCCATGTTGTTTCGGATCATGTTTTGACACATTGCGTGAAATTGTTGCTAAGCCGCTCATATAGCGAACAGAATCCGGCTCTCAGAAATCACATAGATATTTTAATCAGACTGATAACTGATACAGAACTCAGAGTAAGATTCACATTATCTAGTAATCGCTTTACCACACACACACACACACATCTATACATACACTTTTTTTTACTACACATTATATTTAACTTCTCTCACGTGTTGTTTTACGTTTCAGATAAATGCGTATATTGAAAGCAAGCAGCTAAAAGCTGCATATTTGCTTGCCGTTAAACATTCCAGAACACAAGATATAAGAAGAATTTTAAGAGAGTCAGATAGACTTGGTCAGAGTGCAATCAAGATGATATGCTTAAAGTGGCTACAACAAGAACTAAAAGAATAAAAGCTTCTAGCTCATAGCTACTTAAGAAAAGCGGAAAATATATTGACGTTTGACACCGGTCTGGAATGGTTTTCCGTAATTCAATTTTTTGATCGCATTTAACCTGTTAGAGAGCCGGCATTTTTCCATTTGAAATCCTCAACTTTTTTCACGTAAAATATACGCGCATATGTAACCATATATTCAAAGCTTTGATTCGAAAATGTTTTACGGGTTTGAATATCGACGTGTTTCGTGAACATTTCAATTTCGCCCACTTCATCGGGTTCAAACCTGAAAAAAACAATCTTCGAATGTTAATACAACACACCGCAAGAGCATCAAATATCAGATTATGTACCATATAGTTGGTAAGTCTGTTGCTGGCCCATATATGGGCCAGTCCGGCTCTCTAAAGGTTAAAAAGAATAACATTACGTTGTCATATAAGAAATCACTGTTAAGAAAAACAAGTAGAAAGACATTCACAAAAAGTGATAGTTCATGAACTTGAACAAAATATATAATAAAATTTTAAAACTGGTAAAAAACAGTAACGTGTAAAGAGTATCATATATAAATCAATTCTGTTCTAGATGTACATACAGGACATCTTAGATGTATAAGACAGTTTGAGAAAAACTCAGAAAATGTGATGATACATATATATATATATAAATGTAATCTTAAGTACTAAAGTAGATAAATTCCGCTGAAGTTGTTTAATTCAACTATTTTTAAAGAAACATATTTATTACACGTAATAAACGTTTTTTGTACTCTATACTTACTAAGGTCTGTAATGCTGTGATATATTTGTTCTTCGAGAAATAATAGTTGTATATCTAATACATCTCTTACGGATAGATGCGTGTCCTTATGTGAATACAAAGTCTATATATATATATGCGTGTCCTTATGTGAATACAAAGTCTATATATTGTGATCACACTTGTGTGTGATTGACACATGTTAATATGAATATTGAAATGCAAAGACAAAGGAATGTATACAGCGAGACAGTAGTTTCTTCCTATCCTAATAAAAAAAAAAAAGAGACTTTTGCAGATATTTGTACAATTATTTCACTCTTATATTAATTTTGTTGTAATTTGATTATTACAACATGATTTTTTTCTTAGTATAAATTTTCTTAAGTATTTTCTTACGTTTAATGATCGTAAATCTTTTATCTCGAAACGACGTATAAACTAAGTTCTAACATAATAGACATTTAAACTATTAAAGTGATTTGCTTAAATTACCAGGAAACTTGTCACTCTTGCAAACAATTTTTTTTTTTTTATCCCTATGTTAAATACATACTTCTGATAATATCCTCTCTCCTTTTTTTGTTTAGAAAAATAAATATATATATATATAAAATGATAAAACTTTCCCAAAACTATATTAAAAGAAGCTATAGAAATGTGTCTGTGGGATCTACAAGTTGTAAGATACAAAAGTTGCTCATTGTTTATCCTCCATCAAAGCTGATAATCTTTCTTCGTATTTCTCAGCAAACTTGTCATCTATATTCTTAATCGCTGCCAATAAGGAGTCTTTCTCGTGCTGGGACCAATTGCTACTCCACTCTCTGAAGAGTTTAACGCGACATTGGAACAAGCTCGGAGGCCTATCTGATCCCTCACAATCCAATTTTTCCATCCCAGCCACCAATCCGTTTACAAGCCCCGGAGGGCCACAGTTTTCCAGGAAGATTCCCAAAAAATCGCTCCGCTGCATTTCGGACCACTCCCGAAACCACTCTATCATGTAACGCAGTTGAGCCTCGTTTGATAACATGGTAGACATGTTCTTGCTTAAAAAACAAAAAAAAAATACACGTTCCAGCAGTCAGATGCTGACACCAGCGAATACAAAAGCGTTTAAAAACCAAGTTTTTGGAGTCAGACACTTTTATATTATCTATGCTTTTTGGGAGTGCTATGTACAAAAGATAAGAGAGATGGAGATAATCTTTATCATGTATTTGACGTCTTTGTTTGTGAAATATCTCTTTTTGCATCATACAATTTTTTTCATAATTTAACAATTAGATGACGAGAAGGTGTTTTCATATAATGTTTGACGTTTTAACAACGCACACTTACAATTTTAACATTATAAGAGAATTGCAACAAATCAAATGTTTGAGAGTGAGAGATGTGTATAAAAATTTGATCTCCCGTTCTCTTAGAGAGGGTCAACAAACTCGATTTTTTAACTGCAAAAATTGTAAAAATAAGAATCAATCATATCTCGTCAAAAGAAAAAGACCGTGTGCGGAACATTTTTTGTTTTTTTTTTTAGGTTATAAGAAAACACTCGTGATGCAACAAAAAGTTGAAAACCAATAAGAGTTAGCGGTACAAAAGTTGAACAACCGGCGTAAATGTGCGAAACGGTAAAAATTACCAATTCGTGTTTTTCCGGCAAGCTGCGTCCCACCGCACAGATGTCCGTCTCTTGTGTTTGTTTAAACAATTATCCGTTTCATTCACGCGAGAGAGCCCCCGTGTTATCACGTTCCGGCCATTTATCGTGGAGTACGGAGACGGCGTGCCGATAAAAAAACGCCGCGTTCTGGAACGACACACAATTGGAAGTAGGGATACATGTAATCCATGTAAAGCATTTTTTTTTTTTTTTTTTTTTTTTTTGAGGAACGCTTTGTTCAAGTATTTAACGTGACGATTTATTGTTTTAGAAGAATACACACGAATTTAGATCGACAACTTGCATTTCTTTGGGTTAACCTGCACCTCTTCTTCCTCTCGGTCTTCTCTTTTCTTTTCCTCGTCCTCGTCCTCGTCCTCCTCGTCCTCCTCTTCGGTGTCCAATTCCACGTCTGAGAACGTCGACCGGTCTCTCGTTTCTGCGCAATTCAATATCCGATCGAGTCAACGAACTTGTGTGAGAAGAATTTGTACACGACGATTAGAGAATTTTGAGGACTTATATGTATATACTGAGAGAGAAATTTATACTTTGCGCGATGTCGGACGTCGTGTCTTTCTGCTGAATCACGGTGGTTAAGAAGTTATTGACTCTTGACTGCACGTCCCGCAGATTTCGCAGCAACGTGTTCAAGTCATTCTCGTCGGACCGGGCGATTTCGTGCTCGTAGACACATTTATCTTCGTTATATATCTTCACTCGCACACCGGTCATGTCCATATTGCGTTCCGAAGTTTGAATGTTTATGTAAACGAGCGTTTCGACACAGACAGGCTCTACATACATACATACATACATACATACACACATACACACACACACACACATACATGTGACTCCGGTGTATGCGCGCATCTCTGATTGTGTGTGACACAATCAATCGCCAGTGATTCAACTCTTAGAGCAGTTTTCTTGACTCAACTTTCTCTCACTCTCTGGTATTTTTTTTTTTTTGGAAAACTGCTGGGCCTCGATTCTTGAACAATTTTCGTATACGAAACTCTACTGTTAATGTCACATATACTATGGCTGCTTTCCTTTTAGGAGACACAGTCGACACAAGTCGACACAGGAGTCATTCTGTCTCTGTTTCTCACTGAATACCGAACAAAGACAGAATGACTTTTGTGCCGACTTGTGTCGACTGTGTCTTCTAAAAGGAAAGCAGCCTATGGCCGTTTTCCTTTTAGGAGACACAGTCGACACAAAAGTCATTCTGTCTTCGTTCAGTATTCAGTGAGAAACAAAGACAGAATGACTCTTGTGTCGACTGTGTCTCCTAAAAGGAAAACGGCCTATAACAACTTTCGTGTACGCAAATTGTTCAAGAATCGAGGCCCCGGTACGTGGCAAAAGTTGCACAAACGCGCTCTTGCTCAAATTGGAATCAAATTTATACGCAATTTTTAGAGATTCATAATAAATTTACTCAATATAAGTCGAGATTATATAACAAACACAAAATAGGTTTTTTTTTACATATATAATCTATACGTGCGTAATTTTTATAAAATTTGTATTAATATTGTCCTTTTTGTTTATATAAAATGAAACTTTGACATAATATATATGGCTGACATAATCAATAATAAAAATAAAATAACAATAACTTTCATACAGTGTAGTACTTTAAACATTAGTAATTATTTATGTTACTTAATTAGTGTCTGAGGTATTTGTAGATGAACAAACAGTTAAGAGATCAAGCTCTTTTGTTAACCTGTTAAGCTCTGGATTCAAGAGATCTTTTATTTTATTACACGTTTCATCACACTTCTTTTGAAGGAGATGAGGACAAAGTTCCTTCTCAAAAAATGAAGACAAACTCTGAGTTGAGAAGTCCAGAAATCTATAATATATCTAGAACACAGAGATCCCCAAAATAATGTTAATAATTTCAAAAGTATATTGCATTACAAAATAATTATTTCTATATAGTATTTATCATACACTTTTATATAAATCCTTATGTATTTTTATATAAATTGTTATGTATATATTTATTGATATGTGTGTGTTATATGTTTCAAAAGTAACCTTGAACTTCTTGTGCTGTGGATCTATTTCAAGTGCTCTTAAAAAATATTTTCCTGCAGCTGGTATATCCTTTTGCAGAGAATAATAAGTTATTGCGATAGCAAGAAGCAAAGATATCTCTCGTTCTTTGATTAAATTGTTATATTTTTTCACCATTTGTAGTAAATGAGGTAATGGCTCTAATTCTCCTACTTCCCAACCATATTCTACATAAGAGAGTTCACATACAAAGTTATAACGTTCAGCAGCTTTCTTATAATACTTAATTGCTTCCTGAAAAAAAAAAAAATGTTAAGAAAAATGAAAAATTAAATAGACATAGTATTGAAAAATTATATTACACTATGTGCATCATTAGATATAACTGTTTCCTTATATATATTAATAGATCTGTTACATGATAAGTTATGAAAACAGACTAAATCTTTTTTTTTCTTTTTAATTATTTCTTCTTTATATTGCTCTATATTATAAATCTAATATTAGTAATCACTTTACCAACCCTATAATCTCCACTCTGTCGATATATCATTGCGTAATAATGGAAAGTTGTTGAATTATTTGGTGTAATTTTATCTACAGCATTAAGACACATTATCGCATAATGTCTGTAATCTTCAACTTCTACTGTTGTGAAAATACGAGCTAATTTTAACAGTACTTTATAACTAGTAGGATTAGTCTTGAACATCTCTACGGCTAGTTCTAATACTTGTTTCTCATTATTACTTTTTTTCTCTTTATAGTTTCGGTCTCTGGAAAATTTATAAAAACTCTCTAATCTCATTTGCAGATAATATATTCCGAATACATGATTTTTGGTCATGGCATATGCTATTTCAAAATGTGTTTTTTCCATATACGATACTTCATCCGAAAGATTTACAGAACGTCTTTTACGTCTAAGATTTTTTGCAAGAATAAAATGCCATAAGGCACAGTCTTCATTCTTTTCTACTGCTCTCTTTCCTAAATCAATTGCCTTTTCCATGCCATAATCGTTGAAACAAGACCATGTCACACTTCCACAACCATACAGACCTCCTAACTCCACACTATTCATATCTTTAATATCAGTAATATTTTCTAATATTTCTAATATTGTTAACGCAGTAGTATCTTCCATATAATGCGTTTCAAATAAGTAAAAACATTTCGTAGCATAAAAAACATGTTCTATAGCTCTTATTATTTGATTTAGGTTTTTCCTAAAACAAAATTTTTGTAATGCAGTATAATAATATGCCAAGCAATTTCTTAAACCATAAATTATATTAAAATAAATTAATATATGTGGGTCATACTGTTGTTGAATCACCATTAAAAATTGTTCAGCATTTTCAATGCTGGCCTTTGCTGAATCATCATCCGCACTTAAGACAGCTTTATAACAATTTAATAAACATATTATAAAATGTTCCAATGGGCCAGAATCGTCAATTTCATCATCGTCTGTATTAGGACGCATTATTTTGTGCTTTATTACAGCATCAACTATCTCCCAGGTAAATGGACAGTCCAATGCTAAAAGTTTTTCCTTCACATTTTGCAATATGCTTTCTTCTTTACATAGTGCCATTTTATAGATTCGATGATGTCGTGGATATTGGACAAATTATGTGACAGACTCAGCTGAAAAGGCAAGAATAGAGTTAGACAGACCTAATGCTGATAGATTGCTTCCAAACGCACCTAACGAATCTTATGTTATCGAAACTCGCCGGTCTTTTGTGTCAAAGTTGACCCACCTAGGTTCAATACTTTTGACTAATGAGTCAGTTTCGAGAGATAAGAAATCAGTCTTCATTGCTCTTTAACTGTAAAACGAAACCGACACTCAAAACGCGTCTAAAATTAGCCGACAATATCCGGCGATATTACGGCCACGTATGGATGGTACACACAGCTACGTTAAACGTTCGCACAGAAACAAAAAGAAAGAAACGGTATACCTTTTTGTTTTATACCTTAATTTCTTGAAATATCATCTGTATCACAGAGCTATCTCGTATCCGTACAGTCGTGTCTACAAGCATGTAAATCGAAAAAAAAAAAAAAATCAGGGAATTTACATTACAGTAGTACATTCTTTGACAACTAAAGGACGACTGTCAACTGTTGCATCCCGTATTAAAGGTTCATTCGCAAGTCACAATCGCAAGTAGATCTCGCAGAATTTATCAATCACGTTCGTCGGTTGACCAACGTGATCATTGTGATTGGTCATTTCCACGAGACTTGCGATTTCACGATTTTTACGTTGATGCACGCGATAAATACTTACGCGATTTGTACATAAATGTGGAATTCCCCGCGCAATGTTGCCGTCACTCATATCACGTTTTACCACCCGCAATGACAAAATATACTATGCACTTGCAAAAATATTACTAAAAGTTCAAAAAAATGTATCTCAATTTTAAATACGTAGAAAACATTATCTTAAATAAATACTATTTGTTTGTTTTTTTTAATGTCACACTCACATTTAACTTATATACAAGCACATATATATATATATATATATATAACAACCCATACAGAAAAAAAAACTCCCATTAAATCATCTAGTAAATATGGCATTGAATTGTTGACGTCTAAAGGAATTTTCGTTCTGCGTGGGAATATAGATGGTGATATTGAAAATAAAATATTTGTTACGAGACAATTTTTCTGGAATTCCCGCGATATCTTGCACCATTCAACCACTCGAGGACGAGGGAAGAGAGGAGGGTCTAAGAGCAACGAGTAGCGTGTTTTCCGCGCTAGATTATTATATACTTCTTTTTCCACATATAGTTTTGCTCTTGTTTTCTTTTTTGAACATATCGTTACTGGACAGCACACCAGTCTGTGAAAAAAAATCTTCATCATTTGGAGAAAGTATTTCGCGATAAAAAATATGTAATCGCGCACGAGCCTTCAATAAACGGTTCATCGAAGCCACTTTCTCTTCCTGCATCACATATGTATTTCAGATAGCGTTGCATTCAAGCACTTTATCACAGGCTTCTGTGTGCGTGTGTGTGTGCGCGCGCGCGCGCGCGCCGGGGTAGGTGATGTGTGCATATACAAGGTGACGAAAAAGTAGCGGAACACCCGAATATCTCAGAAAATTATAAGTTTTGCGCAGAAAAGTATTTGAAATAAAAATTGTAGGATTTAAAAGGATCTATTTGCTGATTGTATCACTGCGATCTTGGATCACGGCGCCGCCAAGATCAGATCAAAGTCATATCGATTTTTTTAAATGAAACATCCTGTTTTTTATTGCAAGTTTTTATAGCTTCATTCAAGAGTTTTTCTAAAACATTATAATAAAGTTTATTTTCGTTAAGCACTTTTTGACTTATGAGGGGTATTGAATATTAGAGTATTGCCGGTACTAGCATTATATTATATTGACGTTATCATTCATTTTATCAATGTTGCTTTATGCAAAAAAAAAACTATGTTGAATAGGAAGTTAAGTTCTTTGTCAATTCTCTTGAATTAAGCTAAAGAATTTGCTATAAAAATTTGCAATAAAAAATAAGAAGTTCTATTTTAAAAAATCGATATGACCTTGACCTGACCCATGCAAGGTCACAGTGATAGAATCGGTAAATAGATCTTTTTAAATCCTACAACTTTTGTCTGAAACATTTTTCTGTAAAACTTATATTTTCTTGAGATACTCAGGTGTTCCGGTACTTTTTCGTCACCTTGTATATGCGCATACACATACTAGCCACATAAGAAAACTTTATTAGCTAATATATATACATATATGTATATAATCTTATCATCTCAAAGGGAACTGATAGATTTCTAAACAAGCAGAGACAAATTGAAATTGTAATTAAAACAAAAAACTTGCTGTTTCAAAATGTAAATAATATGATATGGCATTTTTTTCTGCAAAAATAATAATGCTAATCAGTATATTATTGCAAATCTGCACAAGACGTATGTTTTGCGACAAGTAATTATTGAAGTTTATAAATACACGTTATTAATTAGTTTAAATATATTGAAACAAGAGGAACAGAACTCCGGTTGCAGTTTCTTCTGATGTAATTCACAAACAAAGTAGGTCAAAGACGTAACAGAGGTTACACATGTGTGATGCGACATGCAATTAGATGAAGAATACTAACTTTGCAACGCGCACAGATTATACACTACAGCGCATTCCTAAGAAAGATAGAAATATTAGCATTTAAATCTAATGCTTCTGTGTGCACGCGCGCGCGTCTTATTTTTATATAAATAAATAATATTGTTTTCTTTATTACACCACCAGAATTTTTTATATTTTTTATATTAGCAGAATCAAAATCGGTAATAATCTTAATATATATATGTATCAGTGAAAAATCGAATCACGCGCAGTTTCTCAAATACGAAGTCTCAGAATTTTCTTTCGTAATATGCATAAGAAGCATAATTAAAAACACAAATATAAAAGATTTTTACTGACGTAAAATTTTTTCGAGAAATTCGTTTTATAACACGCATACGGATCTACAAAATCAATGTGTATAGATCTCGTATCCAAGTAATATCAAAGTACTGCCTTCTAATGATATTATAAACATCGTTTCTCTCAGTATTAACAAAATAAATTAAAATGATGACTTTTAACTAATTCAGAACTTACGCACTTCTAGCATCATTTGCAATGCTAATTAGTGTAATTTCTCTTTTCCTTTTCAAATAAATAACATGTCAACTTCTCATTATTCAACTTATTATTCAACTTCTTTTAGTACACTTCCTTGTAGTATATATAGTCACGTACATACAGAAAGGTTGACATACTTATTTTTCGTATGAATTCCTTTGTCCTTTCCCTTCTCCCCATTCGCGGCTATATAAAAGCTAGCAACCTGGCTGGTGCGGTAGTTTTTACTCTCTTGCTCGTGGTGTCTCGTAGCTGTTAAAACAACAATTTGTATATTAAAATATATCTCTTTATCGTCCTCTGTATATATACATGATGAAGAGATACCTCTTGCTTCTGTTGGCTTCGGTAATAGTCCTGACAAACGCCACCGAAAAATATACTGTGAAATACGACAATATAAACGTAGACTCGATCCTTCAAAATAATCGAGTCCTCACCAATTACATTCGTTGCATGCTGGATGAAGGACCTTGCACATCCGAAGGTCGCGAATTAAGAAGTAAGTGGAACGAGAAAAAACCTTATAATGTGTTAATTTTTTTATTTTATATAAACATTGCTGAAACATACAATTTTTACTTAAACATAATTCTTTACTTTGCATAAACATATATCTTCGCATATAAAATATTCTTGAATGTAGCTGATTACGATGTAATACTCTCTCTCACTCTATTACATAAATATTCACGATGAACTTTCTCGCGTGTGTTACATCAATGCTTGAGTAACGTTTGTACTCACTTTACACGCAATATCAAAGCATATTGTATAATTTTATAAATGTGAAAATTAAATAGTGTTAAAAATTTGAAGTAATAAAATCGAACATAAAAACGAAAGTAAATTATTGATGGTCAGTAAATAAAAATAAATTTAAATAAATTTAAATAAATGTTGACGTTTTGATTTTTGTCATCGGTCTAATAAAATAGAAATAAATAAAAACTGCAAAATATTACATATATGTATATAAACATAAATGTGTTTTGCTTGTAGAAACGTTGCCGGATGCTCTGTCAACAAATTGCAGCAAGTGTAATGACAAACAAAAGTCCACATCAGAAAAAGTAATAAATCATCTCAGAACAAAACGACCCCGGGATTGGGACAAACTCGTTGCTAAATATGATCCACAGAACGAATATAAAAAACGCTACGAAAAGTTGTAATTCTTTTTATAAATATTTTAATATACTTGCTATATATACACATAAATTTTTACACAAAATAAAAAATATAATTTATTATTGTAAGTAATTAATATGTGTGTGTTTTAATATATAAAATATATTGATCATTGAAGAGAAAATTTACACTCATGCAAAATTTAGTAAATTTTTATCCAGTAAAAAACCAGTATTTTTCATAAACATACTAAGAGTGACAATTATTTTATTTTATTTGCTTCCAAATACATCTGTAAGAACGTATATATATGTATATTTTTATATAAAAAGATGTATTAACAGAATAAGTATACATACATTATCATGAGAAAAAGTGATCTTTTTCTTCAAAAATGTCGATGTTAAATCGTTTATCAGATTGGCTTTTCTTTACTCGACTCGTCTTTTCTTAACTAACGATCCAAGCTGAAACAAATAAACAAAATATATGTGTAATTTCTGTAGTTAATATGTAATTTACACAACAAAACGCAAAATTATACTCAAATAAACATAAAATAAATGTAATAAAACAAGTGTAACATCACGCACGCGTGTGATTGCTGTATACTTATAAACGTACAAGATCCGAAATTGCTGGTAGATTGTTGGTTTGATCGGTAACAATAGGTTCTTGATCACGGACTTCTTTCTGCGCGGCCGTCTTTTTCATATTCCTATGTTGCGGGAACGTAGGCATAAGTTTCGGATCGCAAGCTGTAACCATATTAAATCACAAATCAATTAAACAATATTACCGTTTACCGACTACTGTATGCCACAAAAAAAAAAAAAACTCGAATTTGAAAGAATCAAAAATGACGTGTATACTAACGTAAAGGTGCTTCTTTGAAGTAACTACTTTGTAAACATTCTTCAGCAGTTGCTCTTTTCTTGGGATCGTACATGAATAAAAAATTCAATAACCTAAGACCTGCTGCACTTAACCAAGGAAATCTTTGTTTCAAGTTATTGTAAGGTTGCTGTTTGAGTGTGAAATTCTTTAACGCTGGTAATGAATTAAATTCCGGCCAAATGGCTTCGCTGGGTGTACCCAGTAAATCGACAATTAATTCTAATTGTGCGATTTCTGATCTGCCAGGTAATAAAGGTTTATGACCCAGTAATTCGCCTAATAACAAAACAAACATCATTATGCAGTGTAACCACATTTTACGAAATATAAGAATAATATTTGAGAGTCTGTTTATTTACTCTTTTTGCATTATTTTTTATTTTTATTTTCTTATCGAAATATGAACACACGTTAATCTTGTTCCAAGTGCAAAAATTGCGAGCAACATAATAGTGGTGTAGCAATATAATGCCCGGGGCATTTTTATGATCAAACAACATGTTCAAGTAGTCATATTCATATATATATATATATATATAATTATATTTATACATAATTATTTCTTTACCTAGTATACATCCAGCTGCCCACATATCTACAGAAGTGGTTTGTGTTTTTGCTTGCAGTAATAATTCTGGTGCTCTATACCACAATGTGACCACTCTAGGAGTCATTGGTTTTAATGGCAAACCAAACCACCTAGCTAGTCCAAAATCGGCAATTTTTACACAACCTTTGTCAGTCATAAGAAGATTAGAGACCTTTAAGTCTCTGTGAACGATGAAATTGTGATGCAAATAACGAAGACCCTTCAATACTTGAAGCACTATGCATTTCACTTGACTTTCTGAGAACGGTGCCTGCATATTATCTAACAGACTTGCTAAATCTTGTTCACAATACTCCATTGCAAGAAATATGCTTTCAAGACTTTTTCCTACCACTACTTCTCTCAGGTGTACTATGTTTTCATGCCGACATGATAACAGAACTGAAATTTCTCTGAGACCACTTACTGGCAATCCGTCCTTTTCATGCTCCATTCTTACTTTTTTCAATGCAACAACCTTATCATTTTTAGTATCTCTTGCTCGATATACAATCCCATAAGTACCTTCTCCAATACGATTGAGTTTCTCAAATTCAGAAACAAATCTGCATTTGCCAAGCTGTAAGAAATATATAAATTAGATCCAATCTCCATGATTACAAAAGCAATTTGGTATAAATGTATTTAGACAAAATTTAGCAAAACTTTCTTACGATATCTTGTTCTGGTATTTCCATAGGTTTGCCAGTTAGAAAAGATGTCAATACACCTTTTCTCGTGATTGGGGCTGAGGGATCTGGCCCCGAGTCCATGATTGTTTTCTTATCGCTATCATTACGTTCTATCGATTTCTTTTCCAAACTTTCGTCTAAAAAAAAAAAAAAAAAAATCATTAAAAGCTTTGTTACAATTAAACTCTTCTTGTTAAATAATTTTGCATCTTGTTGTTTTCCAGATACAATACACAACATACACAAGCTTATCTTAGTTGCTGTATTGTCTTAAAAAATTAAAACATTGTTTACCTTTTGTCATGTTGATCGCGAAATTGATACAGTTAATTAACTAATTCTCAGCAATAATTGCTGCTCAGTAATAATTAAACGCTAATTCCGAATTTCCGAACTAACGTTTACCAATACCCAATAACGTCCTAACAATGCCGGTTATCATTGAAGTGCATCAACAAAATGATGAGCAAACCTCGAAGCAACCACTTCTGAAAACCTCTGGCGGTAAAAACGTGAAACGCATTTGTGCAAGTAAGAAATAAATAATTCAATTAATTGATAAGTTCGAAAAATTGACATGCAATCATACCTATGTACTGCTCAGCTCGATGTTCATGTAAAATATTTATATTACATATTATATTTAAAATTGTTCTAATCTATCTTACGATGGTATGTAGCCAGTTACACTGCGTGTTCAAATCGGGAAGAAGAAAATAGGGTGCGTTCAGACAACTCAACAGTTGAGAGATCATCACTTAGGGCGATGTCCCATTGAGCGGAAATCTATAGCGGAACGGAATGTGCGGAACCAGCTCGACCAATCGTAACCACAGAAAAAGCGAAGGAAAGAAAACGGAATGGCTATGATTGGTCGAGCTGGTTCCGCACATTCCGTTCCGCTATAAATTTCCGCTCAATGGGACATCGCCCTTATGATAGGACTATTCTTCAAAATCTGTTGCGGTCCCAAAAGTATGATCCAATCAGAAGTGATTGGGTGCGTTCAGACAACTCAACAGTTGCACAACGGTTGAGAGATAATCACTTCTGATTGGATCATATTTTTGGAACCGCAGCAGATTTTGAAGAATAGTCCTATCATAAGTGATGATCTCTCAACCGTTGAGTTGTCTGAACGCACCCATTATCTCTCAACCGTTGTGCAACTGTTGAATTGTCTGAACGGGTCTGAACGCACCCAATTCTACCGCGCATAGGAGAAGAAAAGAAGAACAAAGTGTGGAAAACAGGATTGCGTGCAGGATTGGCGAGAGACATCCGCTGACAGCCAATGGCTGTGTAGCGGAGGTGCTTTCTGCTAGGAAAAGATGAGCGAAACGAACGAGTTTCGAGGATCTTACGTTTGAGATCGCCTTAGGATGATCTATAATCGATAAAACGGTATCTTTAAGATGAACTTAAAATGGCCTTAAATATAAAATCGGACTGTAAATATCACAGAATTCTCTAAAAAAAAACTACATATATTTAACAGCCAATCACACATCGGCTGCGTTCGGGGAGAGCGCGCTATCAGCGCTGTTGCATCATTCTTGTCTTTGTTGCTCATTAGATATAAAAAAAAAACAAAAACAGATAGAATGACGCAATAGCGCTGACAGCGTGTTCCCCGAACGCAGCCTTTGTCGCCCAACAAAAACGCAGAGAATGTGATATTAGCCTAATAATTTATGCCACGGTGCTTCTATAAATTTTGCGCGCTCCCTGACGATTCTTAGCGCACCAATCAAACATGGCTCGGTCTGCGAGAAACATGACTCGATGAAAATGAATAGAAATAAGCAAGTTGTGATCGAGCCAAATAGTGTCATATTGCATTGTACCACTTTGCGGAACTGATCTAATCGGGTTCGGATGCTCGCTGTTAAAGCAAACGCACGGTGACAAAAACATAGTTGTGTGCAATCGCGAGTCCAACTTCGAAGGATTATTTTCCAAGGATGTCGGTCAGGATGACGGACAATAATCTGGGCTTTCGTCCGCAAAAGGAATTGTGTTACACCAAACTATTGCCCTTCAAAGATCAACTGGAAGAAGAATCGCTGGTATGGCTTGTCAAGATCAAGGAGAATCTAGGACGTGCTGTTATGCTTCGGGAGATCAAACCAGCATGTGTATTTTGGACAAAACAATTATATATGTAAGAAAGAATTGTTGTCTTGCTTTTCGAGAAGCAAATATTTTAGAATTTTTAACTGAAACGTATTTCTATTTTGTGTCATTAACAATAGTTTCGTTATCAGGAGTAGTCGAATAGTTTTGTTATCTCGGCGTATCTTCTGCTATCTGCGGTACTCAGTAAAAAATGAGTACAATTACATTTTTTTCAAATGCGAATACCTATTTCCTGAGAAAAACTTTTGTTTGAAATTTAGAAAAGAATAAACAGGTCCAATGACGTAACACACAGCAAGACGTGTTACAAAGCACAAGAACAAAAGAATCTAGGATCTTGATAAAAATAACAAATATTATACTATTCAAGTTTGTTGTTATTTTTATTAAATTTCTAGATTTTTCGTTCTCGCTTGTGTTATTACGTGTACTTAACACGTTAAGTGCTACGCCAGTCCCGACGCTGACCCTTCCGTTTCGCGGAATTTTCTGTTTCGCGAACCGCGAGAATGCTGGGTTTACGTTTACACGTTTGTATGTAAACGCGTCGTCTGAACGGAATATTATATGAATTGTAAAGTTATTTTTTGAATTCGATGCTGTCGTCTCTAGAAATCAACGCTGCTCCTAAACGGAGTCGGAGTTCCCAGAGACTGATGTAGGACTTTTAATGTGCTAATAATGTATTTAAATATACTGTGTCAGAAAGATAAGGGACTTGGGTTCGATACATCAATGAATTTTGATTTGATTTTGTTTGCTGTACTAATTTGTAATGGGATATTTTTGTGTGTTATCTCTGACAACTGTGTATCACAGCTGTGTTTTGATACTTACTGCATTAAAAAGCTATACTTCATGTCACATGTGCTATAGATTTCCAGTACTGGCAGTGATTACCGAAATGCAGCCATGATACAAGGTCGTTACAGATCATTTAAACATAATACACAAAGATATATCCCATACAAATTAGTACAGCAAACAAATTTAAAGCCAAAACTCATTGATGTACCAAATCCAAAGAAATTTCTTATCTCTCTGATAAATACATTATTAAATATTTAAGTTTCTTGTTATTTTTACTAGCTTCCTAAATGTCATCAAATGTGTATGTAGCAAAAATATGCAAATATGTGTCAAAAAAATTTTTCATATTTTTAATTTTTTTTTTTTTTTTTTTTTTTTTTTAAGGGAGTCTTCTTGCTCTTACTAATACTGTATATTGTGAATTGTTCTGTTATAATGTTAAATAAAATTTTGCGTTCCAGGTACATAGAAGTATATGGATTGAAGTTTAGTAAAGAAGATCATATAACATTTGTGAAGTTAACGTATGAAATTTTTACCATACCAAAGTTGAATTCAAGTGTTATTATCATGTGTAGCAATCTGCTACAAGTCTTATTAAAGTAAGAAATAGAAATTTAATATTGTCAATAAAAAAATTGCACTATGTATTTATTTTGTATTAAGTGTGTGTGTGCTTAAAAGAATCTGAAATTATTCTGTGGATAGTAACATTTACATATTACTTTACTTTTGTGTAACATCATTGAAAAATATTTCATGAGAAAATGAGCACAATTTGGATAAAATAGCTATACGGACTTTTGTTGAAATAAAATGTTTGTGTGCAAGAAACTACTTGTTTGTATAATCCAATTTTTTTTCCAGAAAAAAGGAATTAATTAGTCCCGATGAATTAGAACTTCCATGGAGACCTTTGTATGAAATGCTGTATACAATCAAACGTCCAAAATTGTATCGTTTTTCTGGACAATTACAAAATTCAATATATACCTTGACTCGTGTTCTAAACATTTATTTTCCAGTAAGAGTTTTATATATGTAATTATATTTTCAAGAAAACATGAAATATTCACTTTTTCAAATTTAACACACATCTAATTCCATATTTTCCATAACAGCTGAGCGCCACGCAAGAAATATTAGATGAATTAAGACCAACACTTTGTCCGTTTGACGAAGCGGTGATGGGACGTACTCTTAGTATCTTAGAAAACTTGTTACCAACAAAATTACGTCCCCAGCATCATTCTGTCGGGCATCATTTGTGGTTTGATGAACTTTTGAGCATATGGAAAGTATGCCACAACGCGCCGTACTGGGAAAACACTATACTGTGCTTAATGGGGAGACTGGCACTTGACAATATCGGTTATATTGACTGGAGTCCGCACTTACCTGTAATGTTTTCTAGATTTACACGATGTTTACATCTACCTGTAACGTATAAAAATATAGACAATAAAAAACTCAAGTTCGATATATCGTCGATATGTATGTGGATAGTGGGAACTTTGGTAAGATTATGCGATTAGTGTGAACGAAGGGATTAACATTATTCATTCTAATACATATATCTTACAGGGAAATGGCTCGGACGCGCAGATGTATTTAGACAAATTCTTGAAAACTGTAGAAACGTACAGTTATCCAGCAAATTTTGGACGGTGGACAGGAAAATTAACTATACTTCTTTCCAAACTTACATATCATTTTCTCGCACGCTTACGCAGGTACGGCGAATAAAGTTAAGCTGGCGTCAAACTATTCGCGCCATTTGTTTTTCTGACGAAACACAAAGAACGCAACAAATCATCACGATCATCACTTTCGTTGCATTATTCTATGCGTCAAGCACGTTACTCGTGCTTACACATCTATATCATTTAAACGCGTCGCGTAGTTTGTGTTTAAACGTGTTTAAACCACAATCGTTTCCGTGTTGCCACAATCGTATTACGAATTACAAATGAATTTCCGAATGACTAATTGCGAATTGCGAATAGTGTGAAAGGCTTTAAACTGGCGATTAACGAATTTTGATTGTCACATTTTTCTCCATATGTTATATTGTTTATTTTAAAAATCAATCAGAACAGCATATATTAACTAACTGATTTAAACTTCTGTTTATGTTAATTTCAGAGAAAGATATTATCATAAACCAACATGGCAAACTTCAATTCCTGACAATTACAAGTTAACTGACGATGATATTGATGCTTTTGTCAAGAGTGTGTTGCCGTTGGCTATGACGGTTATATATCACAAGCAAAAAATTTTCGATAAGTGTACTGCTTTGCGGCTTCTTGCTTTGATAAGACCGAACTTAGTAATACCGGATATGCTAGAACGAATGTATTCCTCATTTGATTCTTTGACCGAACCACATAAACTTATAACTTTGATAACTTGCATGTCATTTCTAGCTAAACAAATGGTGCAAGGTCCTAGATATATGAACGGAGGTATGAAACCTGTTATCAGCTTTTTTTTCTCATACGTGTATTTTACACCAAAAAAAAATATTCAAATATTTCGTTAATTAAAAAATACTGTAAAGACAAAAGAGAAAAAAGAGAGATACACACACACACACACATACAATTAATAAGATAATATACACGTGTGTGTGTGCGTGTAATTCTTTAAACTAAAACAAAAAATAAAGAAAAGTTCTAACATTTACTCGCATTATGTAATTTTGATTTTTGTTCACTCTTTACAGATCACGCCTTTACAGAAGGACCGATGCACGTACTGTCTCTGCTGTTTCTTTCATTGCCCGGAATTGATGCAAATGACTTAAGAAAGTGTTATCTTACTTTAACCTTGATAGGTGCGTATTGTGGATTTATTTCTCTTGTGGATTGTTCAAAATCAACCGCCGAGATGACCGAGGACGAGAGAATAATATGCGAAGGAACGTCGCGTTTCGAGGATTTTGTATTGCAATTTTTGGACCGAGTGTTTCTAGTAATAGAAGCCTGTTCGTTGGAGAACGACAGTAACAATATGATTGTGAAAAGTAATCTTGATATATTTGCCCAGTCGTTACTTAAAAACACGTGCGCAGTTGTGTTGTTAGACACGAGCAAATCGATTTTTGATAGCGCTTTGCATAAATTGCGCACGTTCATGACGGAACGAATCTTCGAGACCGAAATCGCAGGCCAATTGGCAAAAGCCGTGTGCAGAGGATTCGCTGTGTGCAACGGGCGCGAAACATTGCGCGTACTGTTGCCCACGCTTGCGCAAACAATTTTATCATTGGTCAACGAGATGGAAGACGTTTCGAAGGAATATAATTTAGATCAACGTCTTCTGTACACCTTACTCATATTAACCGCGGTTGTCGACACCACGGGCGACAATTTGTTACCCTACATGGATACTCTGTATGAGATTCTCGATCACGTCTTATATTTGAGATCGAAAAACGGAAATGAAGTGGTGTGCAATTTGTTGCAAGAAATTCTCAAGCATTTGTCGACCATCACCATGTATCCTCCTAAAAAGATAATTTCCGAAGATCCGGATTATTGTCACATCAGAGACTGGGGTAAAGGCGTGAATGTCGATAAGTTCGATGCCAAATGGTATATTCCCGGTGAGGCGGAACTCGCTGCTGTGCAACAAATATTTTCGAGATATTTAACAGTTCAAATTGACAAACTCAAGAAGTACTGCGAAGATCCCAGCACATTAACTCCGTGAGTTTAACGAGACCTGTCTCTTTTTAACAGTTATAGAAATAAATTAGTTGTTTTTTTTTTTTTTACACGGAGCGTGATATGTGACGCGGTGATAATTTTTTGTAAATAATTGCAGAGAGGAGCTGCGTATTAGTCTGAATATTATAAAACACGTTCTTCTCGGTGCCACGGCGTTTTTACCAGTATGGACGGAAACACCGCTTGTAATAGTCGAGTCTTCCGTAGAGCGTAATGTGTCTGTGCCACGTCAGTTTGGCAAGATGGGATGTGTCACGATGCCTGACGGGAGTAACGTTAGGCAATATCTTGCTGGAATTATGAGCCAAGTCCAACGGACAATGCTCGACAATGGAGAAGACGACACAAAAAGTTTCGACGCTTTAATTTATGTACGTGTGTATATATTTATTAATTAAGTTTTAATTGCGCGCGCGCAAAGGATGATTCGTCAAGCTTTTATGCGCGTGTGCGTGTATTGGTCTGTTTAAATTTTAGATTTGGAAAAGTCTGTTGCTTGGAAATTTGCACCAGCAAGAATATTTAGCTGACCGGCTCAATGATTTTCACGAAGCCAAGAAGATGTTTGAAAATAAATTAGAAGGAAACAAAACTCGAGTACTTAGATTGCTACACAATCGCTGTATGGTGCAGCTACATATTCGCGAGCTGGCGCGTATCAAAAACTCGTGCATACTTACGGAAATTCACAAACAAATAATAATGGAGCTATTCGCATTGGCCACAAGCAGATACGCGAGCGTTCGTAGCAGCGCTCAACTCGGCCTATTTTCTGCTTTCAGATATTTTCCGTATTCCTATAAATTTCTTGTTCCTCACATTTGTGATATTTTGGCAAAGGATACCGAAATACATCATAACGCGTGTAAAGTAAGTGATTAGTGTGATGTTTTTTTTTTTTTTAAGAGTGATCATTTGTTGAAAAATCTTGTTAAACGTAAACACTTTTTGAATTTGTACGAAACAACAGGGCGTTCTATATATTCTGTTCGGAGAGGATGTAAGTCCCATTCTTGTGAAAGAAGACTGGAATTTGTTGAAGACATTGTGGCCAGCCGTCGTGCTTTCCAAACCGTCTGAGAAAATTTCTCTACGTACTTTGAAGGAGTGTCTTATACAAGTCATAAGTACTAACTTCGCTACGTGCACGATCGAGTTAGAAGTACCCGATAGATGTTTGACTGTTGCGCGCGCTCTATGGGAACACTCTCCACAACCAACGTTGCCGCAACCCGATGAAAATATGATACAGAGCGGTCTGCAGAGCTTAAAAAAACTCAACGAATCTAACGTAGCGGCGTATAATGGTCTGCTTGACGAACTGTTACGTTGTATATCGGAGAAATGTTTACACTGGCGGCATAGATTAATGGCAATGGGTTTTATACGCGATATGATTCATCCAGATCAAAATTATCCCGCTCAAGTAGTGCGTTACTTCTTGCAAGCTCTCATACACGATTCCGTGGAGGAAAGAAAAATTGCTACGAAAGTAGTGGCGTACATGTTGAGACAACAAAAGCGAAAACATTTAAAGGTATGTAAACTTTTATTGTACGTATAGATTTTATGAAGCGCGAACACTAGATCGTATATGTATTCACACTTGTATTTTAAGGTGGAAGTTAATTTAGACAGTTTAGCCAAGGAGAATACGTTAAGCAAGGAAAATCAGTTACAACTCGTCACACCTGGAATAAGAGCTGACAATTCTTGGCTTCAATACAATTATGAAACTCGTCCGCTCACCGCCGAACAGTGGGATGAGCCTAGATACGTCCATCAAGTATACACTGGTTATTATGTATGGCCAAAAGTCCTGAAGGTATACGCTCCTTCGTCCCAACAGCCTTGTCTTGACCCGGCAACGCGCGAGCTAACAGATTGCGAAAAAGAAGTTCATCTCTTCTTCGACAATCCGCAGAACATCGAAAATCTTATAAATTACTTCAGTTTGGAAGAGGTCAAAGGCAAACTCGACCCGTGTAGGTGTTTGCTGTTCAAGGGCTTGTTTTGCAATCATGGAATCGTCCATTTGAAGCATTTTCTACCTCATTTGCAGCGATTAGTAGAAGATAAACAGCACGAGAGTAGTCAACGGTGTGCCGCAGAAATTGTAACCGGACTCATCAGAGGTGCTAAACACTGGCCATTTCAGATGACAAGCGATATGTGGCAGGCGATATTGCCCGTTATAAGAACTGCAATAACAAATGTGACAGAGGAAACTTTTGTAGGATGGAGTATATGTTTCTTAAAATCACAGGAACACAGAGATCCAAATAGATATCACTGGTTGTTGGAGTGTCTTATGGAGGATTCGCCTTCGGAAGAAACCTCATTCAGACAAACCGCACGATTGTGCATGCTACAAAGTACCTTGTGTCAAGCATCATGGCGAAAAACAGAACTGTTGCGTCGTCTGCTAACGCGTATCGAAGATCGAATATTAACCAATTTACTGCAGAATGTTCGCGAAACTCTCGGATCTGTGTTAACTACTATATTCATGGTCGATATTAAAAGTTTGCGCAACTCATCCGATTCCATGACTCCGCGAATAGAAACCTTGATAAACAAGATTATGCCGCATTTAAATCAACTTATAACGAACAATCATGCGGATGAATCCGAGAATTCGGACAAAACAAAAATTATAGTGGAAAAAGTGTCTAATCTTTCGCTTGACGAAGCGAACCAAGTGTCTAAGGAAGACGACATACGTAAGGGAATGTTAAAGACTGTATGCAAGTGGATTCAATGTAACGTACATCAAGTACTGTACAGTGCAATGCCAGAATTTTATCAGCTGTTCCCAATTATATGTCAATTAGGAACTTCGGAAAATGACAAAGAACTCCATGATTTGTGTTTACGCGCTCTAGGATCGCTCGCGCAAGTACTCGTACTGCCCGAAGACATGTCAACTATATTGACAACGGTTAAAACAACATCCGAACATCTATCGTGGTCTGTTAGACTTGACTGTTTAGAGTATCTTCAAGTACTGGTCTTTCACAATATGAGCATAATTCTTAGCGATAACACATGGATCGATTGCATTAAAGATATTGTACTGCGTCTACTGGAGGATGATCGTCTTGAAGTCAGAGAGAAAGCTGGTCAGGTACTCAGCGGACTGTTACATTGCACATTCATCACGGACTATGATGAGTTATTGGCAAGTTTTATCGAAATTTATTTTTTAATAGTTTTTTTTTTTTTTTATTACATATTTGATCTATTTTGCGTGTGTCTGTAAGTGTGTGTCCGCATTTTTATCACGATTAGTAATATTTAAATATCGCTGTGTTTTTGTAGGAGGAATTTAAGAAAAAAACGAAAACGCGATTGCACAAAAGGAAAAGTCCTAATGAAGATTCGTCGAGAAATGCTTCAAGTGCAATACGTCTGCGTCATGCTGGTGTGCTTGGATTGTGCGCTTTTATTACTGCTCATCCGTACGATGTACCTAAATATGTACCTCCAATCTTCGAACATCTTAGTCATCATATGAACGATCCACAACCTATACCGGTAATTTGTTATTTTTCGTTTTCTTTTTTTCTTTGATACTTTGTTTACAGGACGTACTTCAGATCTTACGTATCATCTGTTATTAAAATAATACACACATCTGTTCACTTATAAAAATTATTTGTTGCGCTGTTGATTTTGTTATACATTTGTATTCTTTTTCAAAGAGTTTTGAATAATGTTTCGGAAACATTTAATTATATTACAGATGACAATAAGGAATACACTGAATGATTTTAAGCGAACGCATTACGAGAACTGGACCGGAATAAATGGTCATGCGCAACATTTCACGGATGAGCAATTGGACGTTTTGCAAACTTTGACAATACCACCGTCGCATTACGCTTGATTGGTGGTTTGACATTTAAAATACAACCAGCGTAGAGATACAATAAGTATGAACAGTAGACGATATTTGCGTGCTCAGTTTTTCACGTTTGTATGCGAAATTGGCGATCATTTTTGCGCTAAACTACACAACCACTTCTCAATCTATGCACATGTCAACAAACATGGTATGCAAACAAAAAAGAAACAAAAAAAAAAAAACAAATGTCACCCGAATCACGAATGTGAACGTTTTTATTTCCGTATATTTTAAGATAAATATACGTTTTCAAATTTTTTCTTTGAATCATCTCCAGAAGAAGTGTAAATAGAAAGAGAGAGAATATGAATATACACGTTAGATTGAAACAACACGAATAACAATTGAATATTTTATTTCGTAGTTTTATGAATTTTATTTTAAATGATTTTTTTTTTAATATGCTTCTGTACACAACAGTATATAGGTTTTTCACAACTAACTGCCCAATATTTCCAGCATAGAGTTTTTGAGACTTTCTAAGATAAAAAGTCTAATATAAAAATACAGACAAGATATGTGTTAGAATAAATTTTTAAGATAATAAACGATTAAAGATTGCCAATCACGGTGCTCCACATATTGCTCAGAGATGTAACAAAAAGTAGTAGCTCTCTAAAATGGATGATATTGGTGTATATTACAATATGCTTGTTCATTGCAGACATATAAGTTGTGTGTATCTATATATATATATATATAAGAAATTTAATATTATATCTCTTAATATATTTAATTTTTAATATGTTCAATATGTTTAAATTTGTACATGAAAACAAATGTGTTGCACAGTATATACAAAAACTAAACTTTGAAGAGCAACTGTCTTCACAACAGTCTTGCTGTTTTTCTATCAGATTGTTTTTGTCAGAAAGTTCTAAAGGATGTAAACGTCTTGAAAATATCAGATAGTAGTGTAGAATGTATGTGTATATTTTATACATGTATAATACAAGTAATAATTGTGTACATATGAAAAAAAGTTTTACAATATTTATAATATACACTATAGATCTGTTCTTCTGACGTATTTTAAAACTTTGCGAAAAGTATATAGCCAATCTGTCAATATTGTGTTTTACGAGCTACTGTCTATTATCTCTACGCTGGTGCGGTACGTAATTAAAACATTAATTTTAATCAAATTTATCGCTATAAATGTATTACGTTGATGTATTTAAAGTTGATCAAATGGCACATTTTTAAATTGCCATTAATATAGCATATTTTTTGCACCTAATAGTTTATATTTAATGAGTAAATAAAATAACTATATATTATCAATGTATATTTATCAAATGTTGAAAAAACCTAATACCTTGATGCAAGCTGCATGGAGAACTTTTATGTGGATTTTGACGTAATGGGAGAGAACATTGCGAGAAAAACACTTGACAGCTGCTGTTTTTTTTTTTTTTTTTATGTCATTATTTTAACGTGCCCATAACCGTTAGCCGATTTTTGCGGGCACATTCACTTCTTCTCCTTTTACTCTTATTTCTCTGATCTCTTCTATTTTTCCTCTAACAACTTAGAGAACGGTGTAAAACACCGAAAATGTCCAAAAATATCCACAGCGTAACCACGCACATCCAACCGACACGGCTGATGCAACAACAATGACAGCTGCTGAGGAACTAGGTTAGGTTAAGTTAGGTTAGGAACAGCTTTTTTGTTTTAAGTTGGCAAGCAGACTGGTGTATTGCGGGCCGTGAGCACAAAAAATGTCAGATCAAATTTTAAGTTGGCAATATGTAAATTTAAGGTTGTTTTTTTTCCCTGAACTGGATGCACTAGTTCACAGTCTATCTTTTTCTTTCTAATATCAGAGAGAAACCTGAGAGCGGCCATCCAAATGTAATTTTTTACGACGGTTTCAGCCGCTGGTTTTAGCCGTATTTCCACAAAAGTGGAACTCAAAGGCCGTTCTACATTAAACGCAAGTAGCAGATCTCNTTCCACTTTTGTGGAAATACGGCTAAAACCAGCGGCTGAAACCGTCGTAAAAAATTACAATAGGATGGCCGCTCTCAGGTTTCTCTCTGCTAATATAGATAAAAAAAAAGATAGACTGTGAACTACTTAGAATGGCGTATGGACTAGCTTGAAACGGTCCTTTGAGCCATATATGCACCACCATAGACTGTGAACTAGTGCAGCCAGTTCAGGGAAAAAAACAAACCTTTAGCCAGCCGGTTAAGTGCAGTTAGAGTTAGGTTAGATTAGGTTAGGTTAACCGGGAGTTGTCGAAACCGGTCCTAAAGTGTTTAAATTTGCACAAACATTTTTACTGGTTTTTTAGTAAGACGTGCTCTTTCTGATTTGGTTTCGTACTGTAGCTGAACCAAACCGTTACTGGCATATGATGAAAACACATGATAAATAATTACAGTTTTATTAATGAAACAAATTTGTAGCAATTATAGTAAACAGTTTATACTGTAAATTGAGAAATCAAACTCTAAAAATTTAAGCAGATCGATTTTGACGTGTACTTTATATGTAGTGAAAAAAATATAAATGATATGTGTGATAAATATTCGGAATAACAAAAAAACCGTGAAAAAAACAAAAAAACAAATAACAGAAAATAGAGAAAGATTCTTGCTATGAAGAGAAAGGCAGGCATAGATCGCAAGCAAGTGGCAAACACTGAAATAAGTCAATTGCGCGAAATGAAAAACAAATTGTTAAAACAAGCAATTGAATTGAAAGAACAGCTGAAGGCTCAAGAAGCAAATGGACATCAATCTTCGAACAACAATTTTAACATGTAATTAGCCACAAACTAAACAATGCTCGTTGTGTTTTATATATTCTATTGATAATTGTTTTATTATTTTAATGGTTGTGCAGCAAACTACCGTCTAACGAGTATCACAAATCAACGAAATCCATGTGCAACAAATACAAGATTAAACTATCCGAAATTTCGAATCAAATAACTGGAATAGCGTTCGAAAACGTGAATAAAAAAAGGTTGCGTCAAGACGTTTATCTTTATACAGCCAAAGTGGTAACAAAAGCAGTTTGCTTCAATTTAGAACTGACAGTAGTTCTCAAGGTATACAAGATATTGCATATATTATATTTTATGTTTCAATATTTAATTTTTAACTATATAGTTTTTTTGTTTTGTTTTTAGAAGTTTGACAGTTTTACAATTGATGACATCACGGCTCACTTTGTAGATATCGAGAAAGGTTACATGCTTGAGATATCTCCTTGGTTTCAGAAAATTGCAAAGACCAAAAACTTTTCTTGCCTCATGTCTGGTGAATATTCACAATTATAAGAAAAATCATAAACAATTTCAATGTGTCCACTTAACATATTTATATAATAAGCTGCATATTTTTAGCACTTTCTGATTACAATGAGAAAACCATTCTTAGATCTGAAATATTGAACAAATTAGAATCAAAGAAATATGCCACCACTGAGCAGAACAAGGAGAACGGAGGTGTATTAGTATACATGCATTCTCCTGCAGATACAAAAAAACATTATGTAACATTCCATTGGACGCTGAAATTTGTCAAGTTAACGTGGCACATAGAACACTTTTTTACAATAATTTCTTCAAACATAGGTACAAAAAGTTTAAATACTGCATCTTTCACAATGACATATGTCTGAAAGAAAAATGATAGTAAATAAGACTAATGGATATATATATATATATATATTATGTTGATTTATAGGTATAGAATTTTCAAAAGAAAATAATTTATTATTGAAGGATTTTTGCAAAGTTGACTTGACAAAGGACAATCTTCTAGAATTATGGTACAACTTATGCACTGCTATTGATGCTTATCATGGTAAATAAATAATAAAACTTCTCTTGCAATTATTTGTAAAAATAAGATCTTGAAATTTGTAGAAATTTATATTCTAAATGTATATAAAACAATATTTATAAATAGCAATAATAAAAATCCAGAACAAAATAAATTTAATAATAATCAATAAAGATTATTGTTATATATCTCAAAATTGACATTCATGTTTATCCACTTCCTTTTGACAGTAGAAATATGTTACATTTTACATCAGTTTGTTGCAATTCTTGTCCGATCGCTGAAGTTAAACAACGTTACAATTAGATGAGTGACCACTTAAAAACAAAGTGGTATTGTTATAATTTTTTTTTCTATTATAACTTTGTTTTCTTTGTTCTCATTCAGATTTTATTTAATGTGTTTTTATTCAGATTTAACTTAAAAATCCGAATGTAAAAGTGGCGATTCACGTTTAAAAAGCTGAATATATTTAATTTTTAAAACAATCTCGTCTTGTTTACAACTCTATATTACGAATAAATTGGAATATACTGAGACGCGCATGTGCGAAAATAGACATATGAGCGATTAGAGTCGATGTATTCAGTCGAATCTTATATACTTAAGATTGTCTGAAGTTTATCTTCAGATGCTCTGTAGCCAATGAAACGGCTCGTACACCATCGGATGATAAACTTAAGACGATCTTAAAGATAATACCCGGCTATGTACTCGAATACTAGTCACAGCTCTATCTTATATTTCAAATTGTCTTAAGTTTGTCTCAAGATACCGCACGGGCAGTTTTATTGGCTACGGATTCATCTTCAGATGAATTCAATACTTAAATATATAGGATCTGACTATGAGTACTGACTTTCAAAGTAAAAGATAACGATATCTATACGTATACCTTACACACGTGTATACGTGTGTTTGCATGTAGATTATATTATGAAGCGTAGTACGTGTAATAAGAAACCCAAACGCACAAGTCCCCAGTGGCGCAATCGGTTAGCGCACGGTACTTATATGACAGTGATTGTGTGAGCAATGCCGGGGTTGTGAGTTCGAGCCTCACCTGGGGAACATTTTTTTTTTTTCTTAAAATGTATAATTGTAATTCTTTACACTTCATCTTACACGCCACATATTGCTCATCTGTTGTACTTAAATAATTAACGCAAACTATATATATCTGATCCTCTCCCACATCCAGCTATAAAATACTACTAATATAATATAAAATCTCTCATATTACATTATAATAAATTTTTATATTATATTAGATTCACACACACGAGTCTCAAAACATTCACATTAAGTCACTAATGCGTTGAAATTATTCTACATGCGAACATATAAATGCGCGACCAAGTATTTAAGTTACATGTGTTGCACACATATAAAACTTCTTAACTTAAGTAAGACTTACACAGAGTGACTGAATATATAATATTGCATACTGCAATGTTATACTGTACTTTTTTAAACTATGTAATGACACAAATTTTATTAACAAAATGCAAATTATGTACATGACTTTTTACGATTCAAAAAATATATTTCAAGATTCTGCTGCTTGTTCTTTAACCGCTCGTTCTTCATTTTCTCTTCTGCGGTTTCTCCAAGCTCTCATGTAAGATTTTGGGTGAACAGGGAAATATCCAGCGAGTCCTAATAAAATCGCAACAGGTTTGGATACCTGCACATCTTTGGTCAGCCAATATTGTAGTCTGTCAAAATTGAATGACGCTAATTTCTCGTTATATATGTTTGGAATAGGATCGAAGGTACCAATTTGTTCCACTGGTTCTGCATTACGTTGTTTTTTAACCTGAAATAAGACAAAGTACATATAAAATATTAACTTTTATACTAAGTTGAGTACAAACTACTCCTAATTAATTTAATTTATTAATTTAATCAGTTGATCTACTCACTCAATTGACCAATTATACAGGATTAATAAAATTTAAAAAATCAATTCAATGAATTAATCAGAATTAAAGCTCACTCTTTATGTTCAATTGTTCTTAAGCTTAATCGCTTTCAATAGAGATGTTGTTTTTTTTCTTTTTACTAAATGTGCACGTTACAAACATATAAAGCCAGACTTTTATAAAAATTATAAATTTATATACCTTTATATAAACATATATATATATATATATATATATATATATA